AAACCAAATATGAGCTCCTAATAAAAAACTACTAAGTCCCCCCAAAAAACACCATTGGTAAGAGTCAGCAGAAACAGATTCCCACAAGCAAGTTCGTCAGATATGGGAATTATCAGAAAAATAATATAAAATAAACGTGTTAAGTGTTTAAAGAAACAAAGGACGGAGTCACAAAATGAGTAAACCAGAAGAGATTAAACAAAAATTCCAAGCTTTGAGAAAGAACCAAACATAATTGCCAGAAATAAAAATTTTGTATAAAAGATAGAATGGATGAGTGAAGGCAGCTTGAACAGAGCAGAAGTGAGAAGCAGTGAAACAGGAGACCTTAATAAACTACCCACAATACAGCACAATAATATCAGGAAAACAATAGTGAGATGTTTAAAGCTACAGAATAGAAAATAAGATCTGATATATACCTAGAGTTCTAGAAGGAGAGGAGAGAGAAGGGAAGATAGGGCAGACATGAAAAGATGATGACTGAGAACTTTCCAGAACTGATGAAAAGCAAGACTCCACAGAAATAATGAGCAGGATAAATATCAAGCAAGATGGAAAAATAGAAAATAAAAAAAAGAACAGGAAAGAAAGAAAGAAAAGAAATCCACATTTAGATACTGGGTAATGAAATGGCAGAACATGAAAGACAAAGTGAAAAACTTAAAAGCAGACAAAGTGGGTAAAAAACATATTACACTCAGTAAGTGACATCCTAGTAGCAATAAGCACACCAAGTCCCAGATTTTGGTTTCTCATACCGTCCTCCAGTGAAAGGAACCAGTGGTCCTTGGGCAAATGGGCAGAAAATACCTGAGCTGAGCCTGGAACACCCTGCTGTCCTAGAAGTGCACACTGACGGAGCCCAAAGCCCAAAGCCGGAACAATGTGAGAAACTAGCATCGGATTCTATCCCAAGGTGAAATAAATATCTATGAGTACACACTGATATAATGATTTCATTAATAATAAGGGAGAAGAGACATATCTTCCTTGCAAAAGAATTCCACATTACTATAGAAGGGCATTTTACAAATTCTGATCATCAGAAGATCATCAAAAATAAGGGAAATCTGACAAACAATCACAGTGAAGAGGAGACTAGGGAGATATGATAACTAAAATTAATTTGATGTTCTGGGGGGAATCTTGGAACAGACAAAACGCATTAGGTAAAAGCTAAGGAAATCTGAATAAGGTATGGATTTTAGTTAACGATGGTGCAAAGTTGTAAGCAGCGTACCGTCCTAATGTAAGATGTTAATAAGGGGAAACTGGGTGTGGGATAAATGGGAGTTCTCTATACCTTATCCTCTCATTTTCTCCATAAATATAAAACTGTTTTTAAAATAGTCTATTTTAAAAACTGGGGCAAAAAGAAGCATAGAAGAAAGTGGGAAAGATGAAAAAAGTAAGATGGTATATCAAAAATCACAATACATGTAAATGGACCAAAATTACTAATTAAAAGAGTGTAATAGTTTAAAATTTTTAACACTAAAATTCATCTATGTTTTTTATGAAAACAATGAAGACATGAAATCGAAACCAAAGGGATGAAAAAAGTTATACCAGTAAATTATTAATGAAAGGTAGTCTCAAAATAGAGTATCACTAAATGATTTTTTAATGTCATTCACCAGAGAGACACATCTAAGTTTGTACACATGTGATAAAACAACCTTAAAATATATACAACAAATTTAACAAAACTACAGGGGAGAATGGTCAAATCCACCATTCCAGTAAAAGCGTTCATCATACACATGCACAAACACATGCCAAATTCAGATGTCAACATATTGCAAGAAATTGGTGGTATCAAAGATATACTTTAACAAGATTGCAACTAAATTAAGAACCATAACAAAAATAGCAACAACAAAACCAAAATAATATCCCATATACTTGGAAATTTAAAATATACACCTTAAAGAACTCATGCTTCAAAATGAAGTTAAGATAAAAATTAAATGTACTTAGAAATAATCTCTGGAAGAAGACACACACACTTTTTACATTTGTGCTGTTTTAATTGGGAATGAGGGGGTTAGTGCTGACAGGGGCGCATGGGAGATATTTCACTCTATTTTTATGACTTTTAAATTCTGATTGGTGTTAACACATTTCCTAATCTAAATTCATAACATTTAAATTCTGAGAAATGATTGATAATGAAAATATGCCTTATCAAATCCTGAAGGATGAAACTAAAGTGAAGGAAATAGGTGGCCTTAACGTGCTACTTATTTTTAAAAGGCGAATTATTAGTGAAATAGGCAGCCAATTTAAGGAATTGGCAAGATAGAACTATTTCTGGTAAGACTGATGAAGGAAACAGGATAGAAGGCACAAATAAACAAATATGAGAGATAAAAATAAGGTATGGCAATATTATCTAGAAAAAAGAGATAATAACTAATATTAAAATTTAAGAACGACATAGTACAGGATCCATCACAGATCAAAAAGATAATAAGGTGATACCATAAAAATATTATGCCAATAATTGAAGATCCTAGGTGAAACAGATTCCTAGGAAAATAAAGAATGAAGAAACAATCAACTAAAACAATCCAATTAAAGAAATTGAAAGAACAGTTGAGAATCTCTGACACTAAGAAAACACTAAGCTCAGATAATTTTATAGGTGAGTTCTAGAAAAATAACCCAGGAGATAGATCATTCTAATGTTTTACAAACTTTTCTAGAGAATAGAAAATGAGAAATATATACTGAAACTATTTCAGAAGTCATTAATAATATTGATACCAAAGGATGACAGGAATAGGAAGAGAAATAAAAATTACAGGCCAACTCAGTCATGAACCAGACATAAATATCTCAAATAAATTATTAGCAAATCAAGTCCAGTAATGCATAAAAATAAAATATGTAAACAGCAAGTTGCAGAGAATGCAAGGGCAGTATAACATTTATAAAATTCTATAAATGCCAATAAATATCAGATTTAGATGAAAAGAAAAAATTCCTAAACTATAAAATTTTTCCAAAACTGACTAGAAAAAACTGCAAAATGTGAATCATCCTATAACCACTAAAAAAATTTAAATAGTAGTCAAAAATCTTTCCAGAAATAAAATATCAAGCCCAGATGGCTTTATTGGCCAGTTTCACCAAATATTCAAGAAACAAATACCTCACTCGTAAACTAATTCTTTCAGAGAATAGAAAAAGAAGGTTTATTCAGCAACTCAAATTATGAGACTAGCACAACATCAATGAAAAACACGTCCAAAAAAGAAAAATCTCAGGTCAATCTCTCTCAACAATTATTAGCAAATTGAATCCAATGATATTACATCATGAAAAAATTGGATGGTACATAATGTTGGTTTAATGTTAGACAATAACCTATAATATGATTTATTCCATTTATGTATTAAAAGAAAAAGCCTTATGATTATCTCAGTACACAGAAAAACATTTGATAAAATTCCACCATAGAAACTCTTAGTAAAATAGGAATAGAAGAGACCATTCTTAACCAGATAAAAGTATTTACCAAAAACTCAGCAAATTTTATTCATTCTTTATTGTGAAGTTTCAAAATAGCTCTTTTAAAACCAGGAAGAAGCAAAGAATGCCTGCTACCACTACTTGTATTCATAAGTGCAAGACAAGAAAAAAAATATGAAAACAAAACTGTCTTTAATCATGGATGTTATAATTGTCTATTGAGAAAAAGTAAAATCAATGCACAAGTTACTAGAAATAATAAGAGAGTTTACAAAGGTATCTGAATCAAAGACCAATGTTTAAAAATCGTTTGTAATTTTTATACACCCGAAAAAATTATAAAACACCCTTTATAGCTACGTATACCAAGTGTAAGTTTCTCAGATATGTCTACCAAAAGATGTGCAAAACTCTGAAGAAAAAACTACAACCCTTTTTGAACGACATTAAAGAATCTCTAAATACCCGAGAGGTACACCACAGTGATGAAAAGTCTCTCCATCGGCTCTCCCCGAAGTGGTCTACAGAATCAATGCGAATCCAACTGAAGTTTCAACAAAAGCTTTCCAAAAACTTGGCAAGTGGGACCTAAAATGTACAGGAATGCTGTTCCTAAAGAAGAACAGGTGCTGTGGCATTCCACCCTGATATCAGGACCTAGAATAATGTTACTGAAATGAACAGTGTCGTGTTATCACAGAGACTGGGGAGCCCAGAAACGAGCTCCCGTGGGGCAGGGCTGGCGTTGCAGCTCAGTAGGCAAGTAATGAACTAATCTCAAAACTGTGCTGAGATCATAAGTGATTCAAATGGGAAAAAAAGAAATCATATCCTCATCTTACACAATAGACAAAAATAAACCCTCTCCATTCCTAGCTACATGTCCAAGAGAAATAAAACATATCCCCACAAAAACGTGCACAGAATGTTCAAAGCAGCATTATTCATAATAGCCAAAAAGTAGAAACAACCAAAATGTCCATCAACGGATGAATGGACAGATAAAGTCTAGTATATACAAACAACAGAATATTATTCAACAATTAAAAGAAACTGAGAACTAAAACACACAACAACATATATGAACCTTGAAAACATACTGAATAAAATTGCCAGTCACAAAAGACCACATGTTGCATGATCCCACCATATGAACTAGCCAGAACAGGTAAATCCAGAGAGAGGATTTATCAATAGATTAGTGGATACCTAGGGCTGGAATGTTTGGGGGAAACGGAGAGTAACTGTTAACGGCTATCAGTGTTTTGAGAGGAGGTGATAAAATGCTCTAAAATTGTTGGGTGATGGCTGCACAACTCCGTGAATAGACTAAAACTCACCAAACTGTACACTTTAAATGGGTGAATTGCATGGTATGGAAATTACATCTCAACAAAGGATCATTTTAAAAATAATGCTTAGTGGATTAGAGACCAAATGTGAAAGATAAAATTTTTTAAAATATGGGAGATGGCTTTTTTTTTCTTTTTTTTTAGGCCGCACATTATGCGGGATCTTAGTTCCCTGACCGGGGATCGAACCCAGGCCACGGCAGTGAGAGTGCTGAGTCCTAACCACTGGACCACCGGGGAATTCCCTGGGAGATGGCGTTTTTACTTCAAGGTAAGGAAGGATTTCTTAAACATAACTCAAAGGGCACTAACTTGAAAAGGTTGATACATTAGATAAAATATCATTAAGAACCTTCATTCATCAAAAGACACCACAAAGCTAATGAAAAGATAAATCAAAACCTGGAAGGGGAGATTCACAATATAGGTAATTAACAAAAGAATAGTATCCAGATTTCGAAAAGCACACCAATAAATAAAGATAAACAACCCAATAGAAACAGGAGGAAGCAACATGAACAGGAAGTTCATAAAAGGCAACATTTTAATGGTAAACATATGCAAAAGTATCCTACTTTATCACTCTTCAGAAAATGCACCATCGTTTTACAATCACTATATCTGCAAAAATGTAGAAGTCTGACAGTACCAAAAGTTGGCAAGGATGGTGCTCTTACACACTACTGATGTGAGTGTAAAGTTGTAAAACCCCACTGTAAATTAATTTGGCTTTACCTAGAAAAGCTGGACGTTTTCATAAGCTACGTCCCAACATTTTAGAGAAAACTCTTCACGTGTACTCCAGGGACATGTTCAAGAACATACATCGTAGCTTTTTAAAAACTACATAACTAGAGATGGCTCAGGTTTCCATCACAATTAATTGACTGCTGGTCATACAATGGGATATTATATCCAGCAAAATGAATAAACCAGAGCTACACACGACGATGGGTGAATATTACAAATAGAATGTAAGTGAAAATGCAAATAACAGATTACCTATAATATGTAATCACATTTATAAAATTAAAAAACAAGCAAAAGTAAAGAGTATGCTGCTTAGAGAACATACACGTGATGAAGCTGTACTGAAAACAATGTTAGGAAACTATCAACACACAAGAAAAACGGCTGCCTCAGGGACAGGGATGCCAAGAGTGTGGAAGGAAAGAAGAATACAGTAGAGGTGAGAGTTTGAATAATAATGTTTTTCTAACTCTTAACATGGGTGGTTGGCTCATGACGTTCGTTTTGTTTGTATGCATTAGTACTGAAGTGTTATTTATGACATATATTCTTCGTATATATCAAACACAACATAATAAATTTTAAAAGATGTTGCAGGGGTTTAAGCCCAGGTGGCAAGGAGAATGCTTCTAACAAGGAAAAACTTCTTGTTGTTAAAATAAATTTTAACAACACTTATTTTAATATAGTCTTTCTATTTATTATGAAAAAATTTTAAATCCTACAATTTTTCCTTTTGTTGGGGCTATTTCATAGGGAACCCTCAATTTCAATCATGCCTTCAAGTACCACATTGTTTCCTTATTCTTTACTTTTATCATGAAAAAAAGTTAATTTAAAATATCTTTTCTTTAGAACAACATATTAATAGTTCTAGAATATATTTTAATACTTTATGGTTAATATTAAGGCCACTAAACATTATTTTAAGTCATACAAAATTGATCAAAACTAATTTCTCTATTTTCATTATGCTGGATGCAATAAATTTATCTTTGGATTTAAGCCTACAGATTAAAGAAAACACATTATTTTAACTTATGGTCTTTTTTTTTTTTTTTTGCGGTACGCGGGCCTCTCACTGTTGTGGCCTCTCCCGCTGCAGAGCACAGGCTCCGCACGCGCAGGCTCAGCGGCCATGGCTCACGGGCCCAGCCGCTCCGCGGCATGTGGGATCCTCCCGGACCGGGGCGCGAACCCGTGTCCCCTGCATCGGCAGGCGGACCCACAACCACTGCGCCACCAGGGAAGTCCTAACTTATGGTCTTTTAACCTTCTAAGATTATTTTATAAATATCATATGCAACAGAATGTTCTTTTTTTGTTGTAAACAACTCTCAGAGGAACCTTAGCATAAGAGACAGTTTAACCTTGTAAGAAAACATTGCTTTTGTCTCCCAAAGAAAAAAGTATCAAAAATAATGATAGATGATTAGTGTGTTTCTAACAAATTAAATACAATAATTAAACACCAATCAGCTGTTTTGAACCAGGACAACTGGTGTGTAATGAACACCATGGTTCAGGCAGTCGTAGGATCAAACAATATGGATTAGGGAGGATTAAAGAGAAACAAAATGGTAGGAAGTCAGGATCAGGAGGTTGGAATGTAGTGTGATCTGAAGCAGAGGTGCTCACAGAATGGCAAGCATCTCTAGAGGACTCTCGCATTGACTTAGGTCTCAGGTCTTCCGAGACGTTCGATCCTCAGGTAGTTCAGAGCTCTCTGGTCAGCTGTGTCAGTCACTGGTTTGTCTGCCCATCTATGAGCCCATCCATCTCAACGGCCATTGCCTCATCACATCCTATTTTAAGGAGCTGGGTTGTCTTGTATCTATTAATGAGCCTCAGTGACCGTTTCTGAAGAGCTGTGTTCTCATCTATACACAGGGCTTATCAAGGAAGCAGAATCCTCAGCGGGGCTGCATTTCAGGAGAACAGCCCGTGCCCCTCAATGCCTACTCACTGGAGGTGCCCTGCCACAATCAAGGGTGAGGAACCTAAGAACCGGGCGCTGAGGCCATCCTCCGGCCTTCCATGAACGTTCTTTGTTGGGTCACAGAGGTTAGAATTAGGACAGAGAACAGTATGGAAGTGCTCTTTTGCCTTAGAGTCTATTAATAAGTAGGAGTTCATTATATAACTTAGCTTTATTTATTAATATATTTCCTGTTTTAAATGTGCTTTATGTAAACATGTAAAATTTGTCCTCAGTTAGATGTCTCTAAAACTTCCCTGAGCTCTTTGTCAACAGAAAATACTGACAAATAACTTTCAGTGTTGGCAGCTGCCAGCTTACGAAGGAAAAGGGAAAAACTTAACCCATGGATGTTTTTAAAAATAATTTTGTGGGGAAAACAACCTGATGACTAGTAAGATTTTTGGTGGTTATAATATATAATCTAAATATATAATATACTTGCTATAAATTTATATTATTGTATATTTTTTATTAAATATTGTATTTTAAAAATTAAAATACAGATAACAGATTCTTTCTGTTATACTCGGTTATTGGTCACTCCTTATGTCAGTTATTTTCGAAGCAACTTCAGATCTTATTCTTCTAGAGCTTTAATTTTACTCCAAATGTCTCATTTTATTTTTGAATAAAAGGAATACCCTGAATGAAACGTGAACTTGGGGGGTCTGATTAAATATATAGAATTGATGTGAAAGCAGATATTCAGACTTCAAGGAAGGATATAGCATCTATATTAAAAAGTCAATACAGCAGAAACTAACACAACACTGTAAAGCAATTATACTCCAATAAAGATGTTAAAAAAAAAAAAAAGTTCAGAGTGGGATATATTAGAAAAATGCAGTTGGATCAACAAAAAATAATATTTTAGAGATATCTATATCTATTTTACAGACATTAAACTTATGCCAAGCATAAAACTATATCTTATATGAGATCCAATGTTGACTATAATTTAAAACCTGAAATTCATCTAAAGAGTTAAAATAAAAGCCTATTTTGCTGTATAATTATATCCTACAACATTCAATATATCTTTTAACATATTTTGGAAATTAATGATTTCAAATTAAGCCAAGTATTATAAAATTACTTTACATGTGAGTTAATTTTTTTCCTGAATTTTAGAATAAAAGTTTATATTTTTTAGTGTTAAAAACACTATGGGAACACACTTTAAAAGCTTTTTAGCCCTATGAAATAGGGCTAAAATATAAAATAGGGCTTTAAAATTTTTTTAAATATTTTTAAAAATATAAATATTTTTTAAATAAATACTTTAATAAATATTTTTTAAAATATAAAAATTTTTTTAAATATTTTTTAAAATATAAAATAGGGCTAAAAAGCTTTTAAAGTGTGTGCCCATAAGCCATAGGAAAGACAGGTAGTTGATAAAAGCAGAAAAGAGAAACATTAAGAGATGCAGGGAAAGTCACATAAAAGTCTGGGTAAGAAACCAGGTCTTCAGATTCCTAGGGCAGCATATTTCCTGTTTATAACCTGCTGCATCCAGGCTGCAAATAGAACTTTCTTGACTCATAATACCTATGTTCTGTCAAATGGAAAACATTTAAAAAATCCCTTCAATGACTCAGAGATATTTAGAAAGAAGAGTCAGCAGATTTACCTTATAGTTATTCAAAGATTTCTCTAAGATCCAATACGCATGTTTAGGATATTTAAAGTACATTTGTGTTTCTAGACTCTTGTTCTACAGTTATTAGACCCAGTAATTAAAAATATAATCATTTGTCCACCTTGCAGTTCAGGAAGAATATTACCTCTGCAACTTGTAAAGATGAGAAAGGAGTGTAAATTGCCCCAAATTCCAAATGAATAGCTTAGCTCTGGAAGGAATTCTATACACAAAATTAAAATGTGGTATCCTTGATCACAATGACACTACTAAATTACATGATGAAGGAGAGGATAGAGCCTAACATATAGGAAAGGCAAGAAAAACTTTGATTTGATTAAAACTTTTTAGAACAATTAATACTCAGTTTTGGAACATACTACAAAGGGCTTTCGTCAAGAAATAAAATATATTGTTTACCTGCAAAAGAAAAGAGCACTCTAGGTGGAGAATAAAAAAGAAAAAAAGAAATAGGGTGAAAGTACAAAAGAAAAGCATTCATTAATTTACATGCCTATATCTGGAGAAAAAAAACTTCAAAAGGAGAAGCAGAACATATAATGAGACACATGAACTGGCAAATATTATGTCTGCATTTGTTTTTTGTGAATAATGATGATAGTACAAAAAATTCATAACGGATATGAAAATTTATAGTTTTATTCTAAAAGAACCACCCAAATCATCTAATTGAAAATCGGTCTTGAGGAAAGTGAGTGAAAACCAACAGCAATTTGCTTTTAGGTTAAGTTACAATTAATAGGGAAAAAAGGAAGTTCTCACTGGCCTATTTTGGAAACTTGCAAATGAAATGTCTACTACACTTAAAATGACTGTGTATGAGCATTTATTTTATAGATTAAACAT